CCCCAAACCCCAAACCCCAAACCCCAAACCCTAAACCCTAAACCCTAAGCCCTAAACCCTAAACCCTAAAACCTAACCCCTAAGCTGCCGAGTCAGGCCTCTTGAAGACGTGACCCCGTCGGTCGAGAGATGGCTGAGGCCGCTGCGCAGATGCCCCGAACCATTAAGACCCCTGAAGCCTGCACCCCCCCACCCCGCGACCCTAAACCCTAAACCCTAAACCCTAAACCCCAAACCCCTAAACCTTAAATCCCTAAACCCCAAACCCCTAAAACCCTAAGCCGCTGAAACCTAACAACTTCGGAGGGACTGCGAGGACTTCGTATCCTACACAACAGAAAGAGCTTAGACTTGTGGGCGAGTTTGGACTCTGGGCTTCATGGGTTTAGGGTTTAGGGTTTAGGGTATAGGGTTTAGGGTATAGGGTTTAAGTTTAGGGTTTCGGGTTTAGGATTCGCAGGGCTTTACCGGGTTTTGATTTTCGGGTCTGGGGTTGAGAAGGGTATCTTGCGGCAGGAGTCTTCTTCTGGTTCGGAATGTTCCGGTCAAGCTCTTGTCACCCATCCGCCCGAATCCCTTTAAAGCCTGAAACCCTAATCCCTGCACCCTAAAGCGCTTCTTGGCAGGTCCATGGAAACTGCGACGTTGACCATCCAGCGGTGAACCTGGTCTGGGGGGGGGGGGTTGGCCAGTCATGTCACGCCGCTTACGAAGTCTAAGGTTTAGGGTTTAGGGTTTAGGGTTGAGGGGTTAGGGTTGAGGGGTCAGGGTTTAGGGTTAGGGTTTTAGGGTTTATAAGTGCTGGTAGAACCAGTTGCATCTGTGCTTCTTAACCCGTTGCAACCGCAGTCGGGGCCTACAACCTACAGCTTTGTTGCAAGTAACCTAAGCCTCAAGCCTTCAGTGCATTATAAGTACTCTGACTTCCCTAAACCCTAGACTGCGCGATGGTGAAGGGGCTCAGCACAGGACCGTGCCAGTTATGTGAGTGAGTTGAGAGGGGCTTTAAGGTTTAGGCCTTAGGTTTTCAACAGGGTCTTCAAACTTCGGGGGTTACCTTCTTTGGTAGCAAGAGAGCAAAGGGTAACCTTTTCATTCCCGAGATTCTTAAGAAGTAAGAAAATCCGAATCCCCGATTCCAATTGGTAGAGCAGACCTCCGAGGGTTCAGGGTTTAGGGGCATTTAGGGTGTTAGTCTTTATAGGCAGTCTAGGCGAAATTTCTTGAACCCGGAGACGGTAGCATGGTGGCTACCAGGGATCTCGCCTCCAAGATTGTGGATCCGCGGCACGCCGACACCATGATGGAGGCAAGGGATGCGGGTTTTGGGGTTCAGGGTGTAGGGTCTCGTTCCCTTTCCCCGGAAGATTCAGACCCCTTGCAAGAATCTGCCGCAAGCCTCATACTAAGTAGGTTTGTTTTGTCTTTCTTTTGGTTAACTAACATTTTTTGTTCGGAGGGGGGGGGGGTGGCAAACCCTTAAACCTAAACCCTAGCCCCTAAACCTATAGTCGTACTTTCACGCAGAAGCTCTCAGGAACGGTTCTGAGCCTTTCCTTTTCCTCTCATAACTCCTTTAGCAGTATGGGGTTTAGGGTTTAGGGTCTAGGGTTCGGGTTTAGGGTCTGGCTCTAGGGTCTAGGGCTTAGGGCTTAGGACCCTAAACATCCCTACACCCCCGAAACCCCCAAACAACCCAAGCCCCATTAATAACCCTAAACCCTAACCCTAAACCCTAAACCCCAAACCCCAAAACCCCAAACCCCATAACCCTGACCTGCGAACGCGCGCGTGCCAGGCGGCGAGAAACCTGAAGAAGCAGATGGCCAAGGTGGATGAAGGCCACGGATTGCTGTTCCCTAAACCCTAAACCCTAAACCCTAAACCCTAAAACGGTTTAGGGTTCAGGGTCAAGGGTTTAGGGCTCAGGGCTCCGGGCTCCGGGCTCAGGGCCAGGCATTCTGGTGCTCCTCCAACCGATGGTCGACGCGCTTTGGGGCTCCAGCGGGTTTTTTGCGGCTGAGTTTTGCTTGAGGAGCTTTGGGCGGCCCCCCAAATTTGAGACTTTCCACCCCAGCATGCCCATCCAGGCCCCATGGTCCAGAAGTCGCACGGTGCAGGTTGCGGGTTCCTCCACGGAAAAATTGTGCACCGAACCCCCCCCCCCCCCCCCCCCGCGTTTTGCGGGTCACCTCCACAAACCCAGCCCTAACCCTAAACCCGAAATCCGCCAAACTAGACCCCCAAATAGTAGGATTCCCTTATAATCAGAGGCACCCCGACGTCCGGACGACTTCCGACCCCCAAATCCCCTAAACCAAAGCCCGAACCACACTCGGTTGAGGATTTAGGGCTTCTCGGGGCAGGCTTGAAGACCGTCCCGGGACCGCTGGACCCGCAGGACTGCTAAGGGAATTTTGCTCGGGGCGGGGGGAGGGGGGCGGGGATTGTGGTGGGTGGTTAAGGTTTAGGGTTTGGGCTTTAGGGTTAAGGGTTAAGGGTTCGGGTTTAGGGTTTAGGGTTTAGGGTTTAGGGTTTAGGGTTTAGGGTTTAGGGTTTAGGGTTTAGGGTTTAGGGTTTAGGGTTTAGGGTTTTGTCTTCCAGCTTGAGCCCGGTTACAGGAGGGTGGGTCTGGTGCTTAGGGTCACGGAACTTGAAGCGATCACCACAGTCGGCTTCGCTCATTCTTGTCCATGCCTCGTTGTTATACTTCCGCATTCAGTTTCTAGGACCGGGAGTAGGCCCTTTTTTCATTTTTTAGGGTTCGGGTTCCCTTAAAACCAAAAATTATGAAAGGGTACCCTTTTTATTCCTAGGTTACTCCCGGGTCTAGGTTTAGTGGTGTAAGGTTCAGGGAGTTCAGAGCATAGGGCGTACCTCCTGTCCCGGAGAGCTGTTGAATCATCCTCCTTGGACGGGCGCACGAAGACGAGCAAGGAGCTGATGATAAAGTTCCGCACCAGCAGCCGAAAGAGTCGCGCTCTCGGAGCTTGACAGAAGCTTCTTGTTAGGGTTTAGGGTTTAGGGTTATGAACCCTAAGCCCCAAGCCCCAAGCCCCAAGCCCCAAGCCCCAAGCCCTAAACCATTTATAGAGCTTAGTCGCCTGCGTGAGTTGCAGAACGTCCAATCCAAATTTGGGGCTTCGGCTGGCGACGGTCTGAGGGACCGCAACCAAGTCATGTCTTGGACTTGAACTTTCGGAGGGTTTAGTAAACCATGAACCCCAAACTTAATTTAGGGTCTACAGGGTTTGGAGTTTAGGGTAGAGGGTTCAGGGTGTATAGGGTCATTTTCCTTTTCTCATCCAATGCCGTTGCAGCAACTGCCGCCTAGGCGCGAAGGACCCCAGCTACAACAGCTTCGTGCAGGAGCAGACGAGCTCCGTGTGGGTTCAGGGCATCATCCAGTGCAGACCCTTGTGAGATTTTGCATTCCACCGGCTTGAGTTATGAGGATCTGATTTAGGTTAGGGGTCCTTAAGGGGTTCACGCGGCCAACCTCTTTGATGCATTGAGCTGGTCATTAACCGCAAGACCCGCAAGACCAACGTCACTGGTGTTCTCAGCTCTCCCTCCCTCTCTCTCTCTCTCTCGCTCGCTCTTTCTTCTGTCTTTCCCTCCCCTCCCTTCCCTGCCCTCCCTATGTGTTTTGCTCTCTTTTCTTGCTCTTCTTCGTTCTCCGTATCCGAAGCCCTGAGGACATGGCGCTGCTGGAAAGCTGGCATCTTCTCTTGGCCTTCGAGTCCGCGCCCTACTTTTACCCTTCCTTTTGGGGGGACTGAAGTCTAGAACTTGAAAAGGCTGAAGCGAAAACCAGAATTTGAGATCAACCTCCGGTCTAAGGAAATCAGGGGTTTTGGGTCTAGGGACATCCCATATATCACGACAGGGACCTTTCTCCCCTCTTTGCTTCGAAGCAGTAGCTCCAGGACTTTGTTCGTGTCCCACAGATGCCAGCAAGGCACCATGAATGGATATCTGCTCGTGCTGGACAGAACTAAGCTTATGCAGCTGATGTAGATCCGTGCTGGCCCTGATCATTTCTGCGACGGCCAGTCGCTTTTGTTTTTGCGTGCTCCGAGTTGCTGTATTCCGTTGCTTCCTTCCGTGATTGTGGCTTGGGGCGTGGCAGACGTGAGCAATACTCAAAGCTATCGAAGGCCGGATCTTTGGTTGGTTGAGCTCGTGTGTAGGTTACGCCTTGAACCCTTACTCCCTGATGCCTAAACCCAGACCTTTGCATGATCCAACTAATGCAGCCCAGAAGCGTTCACAAGCCGCTGGTATTCTTATCGGGGAAGCGGCCAATGGTTGCATACTACGTTTAGGATTCACTGTGTAGAGGCTCCAGGAGCCTGACCCTAAGCACCCTAGACAGTGGTCCAGAATCCCGAAACCGTCACCCCCTAAACCACGAACCCTTACTTTCAGGAACCCTGAACCATGAACCCTTACTTTCAGGAACCCAAAACCATGAGAACCCTTACTTCAGGAACCCTAAACTCTATACCCTAAAGCACGAACCCTTACTTTCAGGAACAAGAACATGAAGATGGCCATGTCTGCCGGCGGGGGTTCGGGGAACGATGCCATCGACAAGTGGAAGGCTCTGGATCGCCAGGGGGGTCTTCTGACTCTTGTGGTCAAGGGTTTAGGGTTTAGGGTTCAGGGTTTAGGATCTAGGGTTTAGGGTTTAAGGTTTAGGGTTCAGGGTTCAGGATCTAGGGTTTAGTTTAGGGTTTAGGGTTCAGGGTTTAGGGTGCTTGGGGTGATGAAGACTCGTGCCCCCTAAGGTTGTACCCCACCAACTTTTCCTCGGAATGAAGTCCAAATATGGCCCTAGATCCTAAACCCAAAACCCCAAACCCCGACGATGTGACGCTGTGGGCCTATGATCCCCCTCTCCCTGACATTGAACCCCACACCCGGTCGCTTCACGTTGGATATTCCTCAATGGTCACTTCTTTAAAATATGGTCCCTTTCGGGGTCCTGATTATAAGGCGGCCCTTCTTATTTCGGACACCCAAGAAGGGGCCATAGTTTAGAGAGCTCACCTAGTATGTTCTTCTCAGAACTTGGGAACACACTACAACCCAGTGCAACCCCACACCCCAAAACCCGAAGCCCTAAACCCCGAAACCCCAAGCCCCGAACCCCAAACCCAAAGCCCTAAAAGCTCTAAACCCCAAACCCTAAGCCCTAAACCCCAAAACCTAAGCCCTAAAAGCTCTGAACCCCAAGCCCTAAACCCCAAACCCTAAGCCCGAAATCCCAAACCCTAAGCCCTAAAAGCCCTGAACCCCAAGCCCCAAGCCCCCTTAGCCCCCCAAACTCTACACCCCATCCTCAGTGCGTGCCGCCAGCTCCACGAAGCCGCAGAAGCTGCCGCGAACAAGATCCACAAGACCATCAGCAAGGCCGTTTAAGGGGTATTAAGGGCTTTTGGGGGCTTCCCAAAACTTAAAACCCCAAGCCCTAAACCCTAAACCCTGAAGTAAACCCTGAACCTTGAACCTTGAACCCTGAACCCTGAACCCTGAACCCTGAACCCTGAACCCTGAACCCTGAACCCTGAACCCTGAACCCTGAACCCTGAACCCTGAATCCTGAACGGGAGGGGATTCGGTGTCACCCCCCCCTGCCCCGACCCCCTGACCCCCCTGACCTCCTGGTCTTTACTGGCCCCCCTCCCCTGACCTTCCTGGCTCACCTGACCCCTGACTGGCCGCCCTGGCCCCTCTGGCCCCCCTAGGAGGGCGGAGGAGGCGCGGGTGGCCATCTTGGATTTTCTCTCATACAGTAGAGGAAGTAGGCTTCGTCTATACTTAGGGATCCTTAGACTTTAGGGTTTAGGGTTTAGGGCCTTGGCATGTTCCCCCGTATACTAATAGTCCCTTAGTTGGGATGATAGTGCCCCCCTATTATCATCCCTATTAAGGACTGTGCGCATTCGGGGGAAAGCCGTATACACCCTAAATGGGTGTAGGGGGCTCCAGGATGGAGGCATTACAGCTCGGGGGTAGACAGCACCAACAAGGGCTCCCAGAATTAAGATTTAGAGACGTGTTTGAGAGAGCGGTGAACTTTGTTTCTGGGGTTCATCTGAAAGCAACCTTGAAGGCAACCAGACTTGAGGGGCTGGGAACTACAGCCATGCTAAGCTCTAAACTGCCCGAAAATCTAAGCCCAAATCGGATGTAAGGATGTTGAGATTTAGGGGTGTCAGGTAGAGTGTGTAAGGTGATGTTACAATGTAGGGTCATCCTGAGCCCACTCGACTCCCCGACCAAAAACCCTGAAACAGCTCGAAATTCGCTCATGAAACCCGAAGCCCTAGAGCCCTAAACCCTAAACCCTAAACCCTAAACCCTAAACCCTAAACCCCATGTGGGCCCTAGACCTTCCGTCCGGCTGAAAGCCGAAGAAGAGTTCCATCCTAGGCTTCAGGGTTTAGGGTTCAGGGTTTAGGGCTTAGGGTTTAGGGTTTAGGGTTTAGGGTTTAGGGTTTAGGGTTTAGGATCCCAAGCCCTAAGCAGGCAACCTGAAGTGAGTGTTCTTTCTCTGCAGGTGAGACTCCAGCTCTTGGAGTGCGACGTGTAGCTGTCGGATTAGGGTTTAGGGTTTAGGGTTTAGGGTTTAGGGTTTAGGGTTTAGGGTTTAGGGTTTAGGGTTTAGGGTTTAGCGTTACGTGGACCCGTAGTATGGTGGCATACCCTCTTTGTGGGGCTGAAGTATGGGCCCTCGGGTTTTAGAGGGTGTATGAGGGGCATCTAAGGTCCCCAATTGAAGGGCCGACTGAGGGACCATGAAACAAACCACTCTAAGTTCGGGCTGTCGGAGTTTTAGCAGCTAAATCTCCCTTAGCTTGGTTAAGTTTGGGGTTTCAGGGTTTAGCTTTAGGGAACCTTAAACCCTAAAGCCAATATTCAGGGTTTAGGTTTAGGCAACCTTGAACCCTAAAACCTATATGGGGTGAAAGGAGACCTTTGGGATGCATTCTATTTCCTGTCCCTGGGCCTCACAAAACCCAGTCTAGGACAGTAAGGACCCACATGAGCCTTGGGCTTTGGGCTTTGGCTGACTAGGGACGCAGGGCATAATTAGGGTCTGGGGTTTAGCGTTTGGGGTTTAGGGTCTGGGGTTTAGGGTTTAGGGTTTAGGGTTTAGGGCCATTTCCGAAACCTTCTGCTCTTCTGCGAGGTACACGTCCTTCGCCGAAGTCATGTCTTCCTTGGAGGGGAGTTTGGCCAGGGCCCAGGAACCCCAGTGGCGCTTTTTGGTTTTATGAGGGTTTCAAGGTTTTCCCTAGACCCTAAACTCCCCTAAGCCCTAAACCCTCAACCCTCAACCCTAACCCTAAACCCTAACCCTAAACCGTTTAGGTGTTCATGTCAGCCCGAAGCCCCAAGTCCTTGATGTTGCACCCTCGTCTTGCTCGGGGGAACACGTTGAAGCTTCCGAGGGAACCGAATTGGCGTAGGATCTTGGTTTGCTTGATCTGTGCCATTGCTGGTTTCATAGTCTATCGGAATATGTGTCCAGAAGAAGGTTTTCAGGGTCAACCCTTCCTAAACCCTCAACACCATAAGCCCTATAAACCCCAAAAACCCTAAACAACAAAAACACACTACACCCTAAACCCTAAACCTAAACCCTAAACCCTAAACCCTTAGCCACAGCTAAGGTCTCAGTCCCAGGCTATCAGCCCTAAACCCGAAACCCGATAGACCCCAAACCCAAAGCCCAAAAACCCTAAAACCCTAAGTGGAAACCCAAAGCTCTAAAAACGCTAAAACCCTGAACCCACTGCATCTTAAACCCTAAACCCTAAACCCTAAACCCTAAACCCTAAACCCTAAACCCTACACCCTAAACCCTAAACCCTAACCCCTATCCCCTAACCCCCAACCCTACACCCTACACTACACCCACAAGCGAGGTGGACGACCCGAAAAACCAGGACAGGCTCAAGCTGTCAGGCCGGGGACTCCCCCCCCGCATGGGAGAAGAAGAGGCGCCAGAGGGGGTTTAGGGTTTAGTGTTTAGGGTTTGTTTAGGGTTTAGGGTTTCGGGTTGAGGGTGTTGGGTGTAGGGTGTACGGTTTAGGATTTAGGGTTTAGGGTTTAGGGTTTAGGGTTTGGGAAGGGGTTGAGGGTTTAGAGGGCTTAGGGATTAGGGTTTGGGGCTTAGGTTTGTGAATGAGGGCTTGGCGTTTTGGGGTGTAGGGTTTGGGCTGGTCTCAAACCCTCGCCCAAATTCGGGACTTTATTTCCAGGTATTCTTATAGGTATCGGGATGTCTAGTGATTTACAGTAAGGTGTGCTTGTTAAGATAACTGAGTTCAAGTTCTTCTCAAGCAGCCCAGAAAATTGTCCAGTTCGGGTTGTCACTTGCAGGTACTTGGGTGCGGGGGAGGGGCGGGGGTGAAGCAGTTGGTCGTAAACGATTGAGTGCCAGCTGCGCTTATTGAGCGCCGAAGACGGCTAAACCACACAGAACCTACCGAAAGCTCCACATCTTGAGAGTTTGACTCCCTAGACCCTAAAGCCCCTTAGGTACGAGGTTTCGGGCTTTTTGTTAGGACGCAAAGCATAAGGTTTAGGGGTTGAAGGGGGTTGAGGACCTTGAGAGGCTAGACGTCTGATGTAAACCCTGTCCCCAAACCGGCCCAAACCCCAAACCCCAAACCCAAAACCCCAGCTGCGTGACCCTGCGCGCGCGAAGGAGGAGGACGGGGGAGAGCTCGTCGAGGGGGACGAAGATGCAGGCAGGGTCAGGGCCTGCTCAGCTTGGCCTGCTCAGCTTCTCAAACTGTACGTAGGGGCCCTGATTATATATTTGGAGGTACATTCCTAAACCCTAAACCCTAATATCCCTCAAGTACGCGCCCGGGCATGCAACGCCTACTCTTGAAGGGTTTCGGAGTTCTACAGAGTTGCTCAGGGGGCGTGGGGGGGGGAGGGTCAAGTTAGTGAGGACCTTGTGAGCAAAGCGGAGACGCTCAATGAAGTTTAGTTTGGGGGGGATGGCGGGCGGGTGGAGTAATAAGATGACTCGTTTGGGTAGTTGTCCCAAAATCCGCATATGTCGGACCAACACAGGGGCCCGATGGCATCGCATCTCCCACGGATTAGGGTTTGGGGCTTTGTGAACCCGAAAGCCATACACCCCAAACCTCAGAGGCACAATCCATGCCTTCCACAAGCCGTCCTGCAGGTATGTGCTCGTGCATTACCCGTGCCTCCGGCATGCTTTCGGTGTTGAGGTTGAGTCGAGGGCTCGTTCTTCAGGGCTGATGTTGAACCTGGACCCTAAACCGTCGACTTGTGGGTACTTCTAAGTATGGGGCTATGCCCTCTCAGTAGGGCGTAGTATATTCTGCTTGGTCATGGCGTTCTTTGGGGCCGGGGGCGGGGGGGTACTTCTGATCCCACTCATATATGCACCTGTGCGCCTCCATGTAAGCAAATCCCTTCGCTTGCAATGAACATTTGCCACCACGGTTCGGGCCGATGGCTGTGGGTTTAGGGTTTAGGGTTCAGGGTTTAGGGTTTAGGGTTTACCTAGGGTTTCTGGGCCCAACATGGACTTCAGTGTAGTTTGTAGGGTTGGAGCCTGAACCCTAAACTTCTCCGAGGTATTGAAACCCTAAGCCCTAAGGGGAAGCTGCGAACTCGCAGGATCTACGCGGAGATGGGCATTCAACCACAAACCCTATCTCTGAAGCCCAAACCCTCCCAAGCCCCAAGCCCCTAACTTAAGCCACAAACTCCAAAAGCCCTGAACCCCTCACCCAAAGCCCCAAACTCTAAGCCCCCTAAACCCCTAGGCCCCAAACCCCACATGCTGCGGCAGATTCGGGGTAAAGTAGCCTATAAACCCCAAACCCCAAACCCCACACCCTAAACCCGATAAACCCTAAGCCCTAAACCCTAAACCCTAAACCCTAAACCCTAAACCCTGGGGTGTTGTTGGGGGTGGCCAGGTTGCTGCGCATGA